CCTTCCTTCCCTCCCTCCCTCCTTCCCTCCTTCCATGAACCCCAGAAGTGCTTCTCCACTGAACTACGTCCCCAGTTGTCTTTTTTTTTCTTTTCAATTTTGAGACAGTGTCTTGCTAAATTGCTGAGGTTCTTAGTAAGTTGCTGAAGTTGACCTTGAATTTGTAATTCTCCTGCCTTAGCCTCCCCATTTGTTGAGATTACAGGTGTAAAACACTATGTCGTTCTATAATATTCCCCACATTAAGAAAAAGTTATTTGAACCCACAACCCCTTTAGCTTCTGCTGCATTTCTTTGAACTCTTTTGAGGCCTACTTCTGGCGCCAGGAATGTAGCTCAGTGGTAAAGTAAAATCTACAGCATAAACACACAAAAAAGGAATGCCTCTCAAACAAGTTGCCTGTACTTCTACTTTCTTTTCATCATATATATTTTTTTTAGTTGTAGATGGACACAATACCTTTATTTTGTTTATTTTTATATCGTGCCAGGATGGAACCCAGTGCCTATGCATGCTCAGCAAGTGTTCCACCACCGAGTCACAACCCTGGCCCCTCACCATAGTTCTTGAACATACTCCATTCTTTAACATATACTTATTGCATGCTTATTATGTACCAAGTAATATTCTAGTCTACAACAGTGAGTAAAACAACAAAAATCCCTCTACTTTTTGGGCATGATGGCATACATCTATAATCCCAACTACTCAGAAGACTGAGGCAAGAGTCAAGTTCCAGGCCAGCCTCAGCAATTTAAGGAAGCCCTGTCTCAAAATAAAAAGGGTTAGGGATGTAGCTTAGTGGTAAAGCATCTCTGGGTTTAATCCCTAGCACTTTTTTTTGGAGCAGGGGAAGGCCCAAACTCCCTGTCCTTGTATAATTTACACTTTAGTGTGGGGAGAGAAGAAAAACAACAACAAAAATAATAAGCTCTCTAGCTGSGCACTGTGGCGCAAGCCTGTGATCCCAGTGACTCAGGAGGCTGAGGCAGCAGGATCATGAGTTCAAAGCCAGCCTCAGCAAAAGTGAGGTACTAAGCAACTCAGTGAGACCTTGTCTCTAAATAAAATACAMAATAGGGCTGGGACTGTGGTTCAATGGTCAAATGTCCTTTAGTTCATTCATTCCCTGGTACCCACCCCCCACCAAAAAGAAAAAGTTATCTAGGTTGTACAGATAATAGCTCCTTTTTAAGGCCATTTCCGCGTCAGTGTATTAGATCCCATCCTTTGTGCTCAATCCCTTTTTTACCTACTCAAAGATGTACCTTTTTTTCCACATTTTTTATTGGTACATTAATAGTTGTACATAATGGTGTGATTTGTTGTCACATATTTTTACGTGCACATAATATAACAACATAATTTGGCCAATATCATTCTCCCCAATACTTTCTTCCTCCCTCTCCACCTCTCACCTCTTGGTCCCTTTTATCTACTGATCTTCATTTGATTTTCATGAGATCTGCTCCCATCTGTCTTTTCTTTTTTCCTCTCTAGTTTCCACATATGAGAGAAAACATATGACCCTTGACCTTCTGAGTTTCTCTTACTTTGCTTAACATAATAGTCTTTAGTTGCATCCATTTTTCTGCAAATGACATAATTTCATTTTTTCTTTATGGCTAAATGGAACTTCATTGTGCATATATACACATTTTCTTTATCTATTCATCCATCGATGGATACTTATTCTGGTTCCATAGTTTGGCTGTTGTGAATGTGCTGCTATAAACATGGGTAGGCATGTATCACTGTAGTATGATGACTTTTAATTTTCAGGATAAATACTGAGGAGTGGTATACCTAAATCATATGATGGTTCCATTCTAGTCTTTTAAGGAACCTCTATACTGATTTCCATAATGGTTGTACTAATTTACAATCCCACCAACAACGTACTCACATCTTCTCCAGCATTTATTATCATTTATATTCTTGATTCCTGTCTTTCTGACTGGTGTAAGCTGAAATCTCAGTGTAGTTTTGATTTGAGTTTCTCTAATTGCTAATGATGTTGAATATTTTTTCAATATATTTATTGATCATTTGTACTTCTTATTTTGAGAAGTGTTTATATAATTCCTCTGCCCATTTATTAATTGTATTATTTGTTTTTTTCATGTAAAGTTATTTGAGTTCTTTACATGTTCTAGATATTAATCTTCTGTCAGAAGAGTAGCTAGCAAAGATTTTTCTCCCATTTTGTGGGTTCTTTCTTAACATTCCTAATTGTATCCTTTGTTGTGTAGAAGCTTTTAATGATGCCATCCCATTTATTAACTCTTGGCATTATTTTCTTTAGAGGATCTCATAGTTGTATTCTTTTTTTTTCTTTTTTAAAGAGAGAGAGAGAGAGAGAGAGAGAATTTTTTTTTAATATTTATTTTTTAGTTTTCGGCGGACACAACATCTTTGTTTGTATGTGGTGCTGCAGATCGAACCCAGGCCGTGCATGCCAGCGAACAYGCTACCGCTTGAGCCACATCCCCAGCCCCTTCATAGTTGTATTCTTAACAATTGCCTTCTTTCCTGCATCAGATTTTCTTAGTCATTCCTATTAGTATATAAAGGAAAATGTATTTTTTGATCTTAAACTTTAAAAAAATTTTTTTTAGTTGTAGATGAACACAATACCTTTCTTTTATGTATTTATTTTTGTGTGGTGCTGAGTATTGAACCCAGTACTTCACACATGCTAAGCAAGCACTCCCACCACTGAGCTACAACCCCATCTCCTTAAATAAACTTTTTTTGCATTTATTTCTACTTCTAGATGTGCCTTATTTTTGTTTCTCTTATAACAATACTTCCTAAAAGCCTTTTTGGTTAAATCTCTAATCCTGTTTATCAAGCATCTTTAGTGATTTCCACATTGCTAAATTTGGTGGTAAAATGTGTTCTCATTTATTTGCAAAATTTTGCAGTTTTTTTTCCAATAGCACTGAGCCATATGCATAAAGAAATTGAATTATAGGTTTGTCCAAGGATAAAAATTAACATGAAAGATGCAACAAAAATACTGTCATAAAAGGAGTATAAGGGAATAAGAAGCTTGTTGGAGAAGAGACACAGAAAGACAAAAATAAACTTTTGAGAGAATAGATCATAGATTGAAAATTTCAGTGAAGCCCAAAGAGCAAATATTATGGCTGTGTGGTTTTCAGTGACCAGACAAAATGATCTGATATGTATTAGAGTTTTAAGGATTTCAGAAGAGGAGCAGTAAGATCTGTGGTATTATAATGAAACTGAGTGACAGAGTAGAGATGAAAGCCTTTTTAAAGTCTTAGGGATCTCAGTCACTCACATAAATGTTTATTCATCCTAAGTAAGGAGGACTGATTGAAAGAGACAGTTATGCACCGACAAGAGGCAGGTTGGAGGGTAATAGAGCCTTGAGGTTTGACTTCAGAAAGAGGTATTTTTGCATAAGGGAGAGGAACAATGATTATGAAGCTGAAAATTCATGGAGTCAGAGGTTGTTTTATTTACTCCTAGCTCCAGTGTCTATGAAGATRTAGAAGAAGCTGTTTTAGTGACAGATAGTGATCCTTAGTATTTCAAGAAAGTTAACATGAAATTCTGCAACTATTTTAATTAGACTATGGTATCTACAATGACTTAAGTAAAAATATTACTTGATTTTTAAGAGAGCTTTTCTCCCCTTAATCCTTTTTGTTATCAGATCAAAAAAGTGAACAAGAATTAAAAGATGAAGAAATGGATTTATTTACCAAATACTACTCAGAATGGAAAGGAGGTAGAAAAAACACAAATGAATTATATAAGACCATTCCTCGGTTTTATTATAGGGTAAGTGATATTTAATCAAATGTCTCTTAAAGTTTATAAATAAAATATAATTTAAAAATGGAATTAGAATTTTATATTTTAAAAAATAGAAGATTAAATTTAAATTTTGTATATTCTTCCATTCTAGTTGATCTTATTATTATTATGAAAATAAGTTGGGTTTTGCCCATTTTTTTTGAACTATGGTTCTTTTCTATCATTTTTATAGTACATATTAGTGTTAGTATTGTATTGGATTTTTTATGTTGCAGTATACAACACTATGTTATGAGATATAAAAATTTGCTCAAGGCTAAACTGAAAAATAGATGGAGATTGGAAAACTTAAAAGTGATTCACTTAATTATATGTTTCCTTGTGCCAAAACTGTAAAGAAGTCTTTGAAGGRGGCATAGACAAAACAGTAAGGCCTTAAGAAAACTATTTATACTGAAAAGTGAAATCTACCAAAAGAATAAGACCTATTTAGTAGTATGTAAAAGGTAACCACTATATAAAAGTTAACTTTGGAATCTTAGCTGGATGTCTCTTGAACATGGTATCTTCTAAATTTATTCATTATAATATTAAACATTATGTTTAACTGGCATTCTTAGGGATTGAAATGTTAATATGAATTATTGAAACATTTCTTCCAGGAAAAAACTTTTAAGAAAAAAGTATTTTTCACCTGGCATGGTGGCACAAGCCTATAATTCCAGGGACTGAGGCAGGAGGATTACAAATTTGAGGCCCGATTTAGCGATTTAATGTGGCCCTAAGCAATTTAGCAAGACCTTGTCTCAAAAGATAAAAAGGAAAAAGGGCTGCGGATGTGGCCCCCAGTGGTTGAGCACCCCTAGGTTCAATTTTTGGTACCAAAACAAAACAAATACAGTTTTTACATGAATCCTTCTACATATTTCTGTGAGAGTGTATACATGTTCTTTTTTAATAAAAATGAGATCACATCATATATGCTTTTTACTGTTTCTTCTATTATTAAACAGACAACTAGACAAGTGAATGTTTTGATAACCTATAAGAGATAGAAGGGAATGGATATTTATTGAGTGCCTAATTACTGCAGAAGACAGTACTTATTATCTCGTTTAAACTAGATTATCAAATAGTATCTTACTACTCCAGGAATACCCCTTGGGTAGGAATTTTGTGACCTTATTCCTGAGTTCAGGACTGAATTTTCTTGCACTTCCAAGATCAAATTTTGTCTTCCTTTCCTGGTTTCATTTCATTTCTTTCTTTTTTTTTTTTTTTCATGTGTGTGTGTGTGTGTGTGTGTGAGAGAGAGAGAGAGAGAGAGAGAGAGAGAGAGAGAAACAGACTGGGAATTTAACACAGGATCTCATGCGTGCTTGGCAAGTGTTCTACTACTACATCCCCTACACTTTAAAAAATTTTTATTTTGAGATAGGGTCTTGCTAAGTTGCCTAGGCTGGCCTGAAACTTATGATCTTCCTACAGCCTGCTGAGTTGCTGAGATTACAAGTATGTGTCACCACTCCTGGTTTTCCCTCCTTTTTTCTTTGACTGAACCCAGGGGCACTTTACCAATGAGCTACATCCTCCAGTCCTTTTTATTTTAAGACAAGGTCTCACTAAGTTGCTGAGGGCCTTGCTGAGTTATTGAGGCTAACCTTGAATTTATAATCCTCCTGGCTCAACCTCCTGGGATCACAGGCATATGCCACTGTACCCAACTCCTCCCCTTTTTTCTTTTATTCATTTTCTCTCTCTCTCTCTCTCTCTCTCTCTCTCTCTCTCTCTCTCTCTCTCTCTCATTTCTACTTTGCTGGGGGCCAAACTCAGGGCCTTGCACATACTAGACAACCAGTACACCTTTGAGCTACATTACCAGCCCATCTCCCTTCTGATTTCCAAAGGAGTTCTTTTTCTCCTATCTTCTCTCTCCTCTCTGGGACCATTTCCAGATCCATTATTGTTTCCTGCCTGCAATTGTACATTTGTGAAAAGTTTTCTCTTCTTTCTTTTTCTTCTCCATGGCCTCATCCTTCAGAGAAAATATATATAATTTTCAGTCACCATTTTTCTCCTCGTCTGATTAACTGGTTAACTGTCTGTGTCTCTCTCTTGTCCCTAATTCCACCTCCTCCTCCAAATAATTCTTTCTCTATTCTTTTCTACATCCCTTTTKATGAGAAGGATGGCCTCTTTGAGATTTGGAAATGAAAGATGAAAACTACAACATCCAATTTGTACCAAGGGCTACTGAGGTACATTTAATAGAGCAAGGATAATGTAGAAAAGGAGGAAGAAATCCTTAAAACATATTGTTTTAGTTGAGGTTGAAATGAGTATTCTGAAGCTCTGTTTATGGAAATTATCTCATTTGGCAAACCCTCTGCCTTGTAAGACAACATTATAGACACTGACTTAACCATCTCTAAGAAGGAAGGTGATCCAGTCACAACAGGCATGCTTTCCTATGTCTGTCAGTCTTAAACTAGTCCTACTTTAATTCAGTATCAGTCTGAGGTCACAATGGAAACACAATACTTTTTTTTTTTTTTTTTTTTTTTTTTTTGGTACTGTGGATTGAACTCAGGGGCACTCAACCACTGCAGAGCCACATCCCCAGCCCTTTTTGTATTTTTTATTAAGAGACAGGGTCTCATTGAGTTGCTTAGCACCTCGATTTTGCTAAGGCTGGCTTTGAACTCATGATCCTCCTGACTCAGTCTCCCAAGCTGATGGGATTTCAGGCATGCAGCACCAAGCCCAGCGGAAACACAATGCTTTAAGAGCTTTAAGAGCATAAAATAAGCTAGGTACTGTGGCACATGCCTGTAATCTGAGCAGCTCTGGAGGCTGAGCCAGGAGGATTGCAAATTCAAAGCCAGTCTCAGCAACTGGGAGACACTAAACAACTCAGTGAGACCCTGTCTCTAAATAAAATACAAAATAGGGCTAGGGATGTGGCTCAGTGGTTGAGTGTCCCTGAATTCAATCCTACCACCTGCCAAAAAAGAATATAGAATAAACTTGGACTAGACTATAGCTTTTTCAAGGCAGAGATCTAGCATTGCTGTTCACTAAATTGTTTGTGGATCTCTTTTTGTTAAATGAATGTTAAGCAAAATTAAGGTAAGAATCAAAAAACAAACAGAGGAAGTGCCATGTAGTTATCTCATGAAGTCATGTAACATTTTACATGATTCAATTTACAATTTACCTGTAGAAATTTACAATGTGTTTTTAGTTGCCAGCTGAAGATGAGGTTTTACTACAGAAATTAAGAGAGGAATCCAGAGCTGTTTTTCTCCAAAGGAAAAGCAGAGAACTCTTAGATAATGAAGAATTACAGGTAAGATCAAGTTAGAAGTTAACCATTTCTTATTGTTATCTACTTAAATCATGTAGGATCTCAGGGTGCCTAGTGACTTAATAGTGCAGAATGGTAATGTATAAGGTGGCCACAAGAATCAGCTGCTGAGCTTGCATGGGCCATTATCCTCTAAGGGTAGTGTTGTTAAGTTTATTTATTTTTAAGTCCCTGTATGATTCTAATGTCAGGTCAGATTGCAGAGCTTCAAATCCCAGTCCTACTCTGCGACCTTAGACAATGGACTTAACATCTCTGTGATGTAATTCTCAACTGTAAAGTAGGTATAAATACATTACATTATACATAGTTAAGTGGATTAAGGAGAAATTATATTTGAAAAACTTCCGACTTAGTAGGCACTATAAATGTTAGCTATTTTATATCTTTAAAAAAATTTTTGTAGTCATAGGAACAGCATGTCTTTATTTTATTTGCTTAATTTTTTTGCAGTGCAAAGGATCTAACCCAATGTTTCACTCATGCTAGACAAGCACTCTGCTGCTAAGCTCCAGCCCCAGCCCCGCTGTTTTATGTCTTAATATTACATCTCTACTATCAGACTATCATTTCAATGGAAATGTTGCATTTGACTACATTTGAAAAAAATTTAACATTTTCATTTCTGTAATTCTTGGTAAGAACTTATGGTTTTTGTTGGACAAACACCAGACACCACCTATGATTGGAGAGGAAGCAATGATCAATTATGAAAATTTTTTGAAGGTTGGCGAAAAAGCTGGACCAAAATGCAAGTAAGAATAATTAACAGAGGCATAGCATTTTAAATGCCTTGACTGTTAAGGAAAATTTAAGTCTGTCATATGACATTAAAGACAATTTGAGCTATTAATGAAATTTAATAAAATAGTTTATAATCAAGAAAAAGTATATTGTATGAAGATTAAAAGAAATAGTTTGACAGTTTAAGATGTCTTTTTTTAGTGTAACTGCCAAATACCAATTTTTTAAATGTTTTTATTAGTGCATTTATAGTTATTTAATAGTTGGGTTCATTCTGACAGAATCATACACGTATGAAATTTAATTTGCTCCCTGATTTCTTGTCTTTCCCTCCCYTTATTCCTCTTCCTCTACTCACCCATCTTTATTTATTAATTTATTTATTTTTAATTGGTGTTTTAAAGATATACATAAAGGTGGAATTCACTGACATATTTATACATGCACATACCGTGGTTTTGTTAAATGCATTAGGACTTCATTCTTAACACAGGAGAATGTAAAGAAAAAATAAATGCAATGATAAATGGCTTAATATTTTAAGTTTTTGAACTACATGTTTTCTATACTTATTGCTTTTAATTTTTTCACTTTGATTTTAAATATATAAATTTATGCTGTTTGCTAATTCACTTAGAAATAATTTTTATATTATGTTGGCAGAATATTCTAGTCTTTTCTTTCTTTTCTTAGGCAATTTTTCACTGCAAAAGTCTTTGCTAAACTCCTTCATACAGATTCTTATGGAAGAATTTCCATCATGCAGTTCTTTAACTATGTCATGCGAAAAGGTAATCAGTTTTCCTTGAGCTTCATTGAATTCCTTCCATCTAGAAATCAAGTAAATTTCTAGTCTGCTTCTATAGTATTTCTTCATGTGAAACAACTCTTTTACTTAAATTTGAATAGCAGGATTTCTTGTCTTTTTAACAATACATGATTATTTACATATTATTATAATGACTCTTAGGGAGTTTCCTAAAGCTGGTATTTTATACTTTAAATTTGGGTTCCTTATTATAAAAATAAAATTTCATGTACCCTAAAGATAGTAGCTGATTAGAAATACTGAAAGGTGAACCAAGAATTTTAATGTATGGTGATTTGAAATAATTTTAGTTTACTAGTAATTTTATTTCATCAATATGCTACAAGTTGGAGCTGGGGTTGTGGCTCAGTAGCAGAGCTCTCACCTAGCATGGGCAAGGCCTTGGTTTGATCCCCAATACCACATAAAAATAAATAAATAAAGATATTGTGTCCAACTACAACTAAAAAATAACTAYTTAAAAAAATGCTATAAGCTGAGTTGTTTTAAAGGATAGTTTCAAATCCTTGATTGTTGCATCAATTTCAAGGAGCCTCTATTAAACAACTTGTAGTTGTTATGATTTCTATTAAATACCATAATAATCTGTGAAATCTTGTTGTGTACCATCTTTTTCTTGGCTGCTGTAATCAACCTCAGTAGAATGAAAGCAGCTTCATTGAAGATGTAACATTCTGTTAGCTACTCCTATTTGGTGGAACACCAACTTTAATAGGTAAAGAATGATTTATTCAAAGGTATCAGTTTTATTTTTATTTTTTTTTTAAATATTTATTTTTTAGTTGTAGTTGGACACAGTACCTTTATTTTACTTATGTATTTTTATGTGGTGCTGAGAATCAAAACCAGGGTCTCGCAAGTGCAAGGTGAGCRCTCAAATGCTGAGCCTCAACCCCAACCCCAAGGGTGTCAGTTTTATTGTGGCTTTGGTCATGATAGARGTGTTGAAATCTGCCATTCAATGGTATGTTTGTTTTGTTTGAAACAATTTTAGGGTTAATGATTACTCAGTGTGTATGAGAAGAAATAGGTTTTTAGAGTTAATAGATGGGTTTTTTTATGGAAGATAGGTGGCTATAAAGAAAGCTATAAATAGGGTTGTGGTTCAGTGGTAAAGCGCTTGCCTAGCACATGTGAGCTTTTTTGTGTGTGTGTGTGTGTGGTACTAGGGGTTGAACCTAGGGGCTTTCTAATACTGAGTTATATCACCAGCCCTTTTCATTTTGTGAGACAGAGTCTCACTAAATTGCATAGGCCAGCCTTGAATTTGTGATCCTCCTGCCTYAGGCTCCCACATCTCTTGGGATTATAGGCTATGCCACTGTGTCTAGCTCTAATCTAGCATTTCACCTCTTCTTCCACACACATACATATACACACTAAAGGATAGGTGTTAATAATTGTATTGCATTTTTTTCTTTATTGTCAGTTTGGCTTCATCAAACAAGAATAGGACTCAGTTTATATGATGTTGCTGGTCAAGGGTACCTTCGGGAATCTGTAAGTATTAACTTGCTTTTAATCACTATTATAGACACCAGTATGTTAAACAGTAGTTATCACTGAGTATTGAGATTAAGGTGATTCTTACTACATTTGGTTTCTCAGTTTTTGTGTTTTTCTATTTTATAAGCAATATGTTTACTATAAAGTTTTAAATGCATTTTGACCATTTAGATTCCTTTTTAGATTCTTATACTTCAAGCTTTTTTTAAAAAGGCCTTCCAAAGGGGAAAATGCAAAGAATGTGATGTTGATGTTTTAACAGGTTTAAAAATCATTGAAGAAACAGTGAAAACTTTTTGTCTCTCTTGAATGGTATTAATATGTGACTTTTAAGAAGGGCCAGGGATTTATTTATTTTTTTAATCATCAATGGGCCTTTATTTTATTTATTCTTATGGGGTGTTGAGAATCAAACCCAGTGCCTCACACATGCTAGCAAGTACTCTACCACTGCACTACAACCTCAGCACTGGGCCAGGAATTTTTAAAGAAATATAAGAGATGTGATTGTATTCCCACCTGCAGGTTTAGGGCTATAAGGTCAATTATGAAAGGAATCTTTATTCCTTACTAGATACTAATGTATTTAGGTATAAGTTATCAATAAAGAATTATAAGCTCAAACGAAAAAAAATACTAAAAACATCAAAAAAAGCATTATAAGCTCATGATACAGATGGCTATACTTTTTATAAGTATGGGCATCTAAACTAYGTATACGTTTTCAGCTCAAGTTTTTTTCCCCCCCAAATAAAGAGTCTTTTTCTAGTGTTGTGGGAGGACAGGTGAAGGGAATGGGGCATAAGTATGTGCTAGGTTAATTAAATAATATTTGAATGTATGACTTAAAGAAATGTAAATTAATTCCTCATTACATTTGTTATAGTTCCTTTTATAATTAATATCTTGAAAMTGGCCCTGAACTTGCAATCCTCCTGTCTTAGCCTCCTGAATTACTGGTATAATAATTTCTTGAAGTCTGTTTAGCCCAGATTTCTGTAGATAGAATCTTTTAGCTCATTCTAAACACTGGCACTGTACAACCTTTCCAGTGTGTTTTGTCTATTAAAGTTTAGATCAAGGGGAGGGGAGGGGAAGTGGGGATAGCAAGGGCAGCAGAATAAAATAGACATTATTATTGCTGTATGTATATAGGTGACTGTCTGACCAATGTGATTCTGCAACCTGTACAATCAGAAAAATAAGAAATTGTACCCCATTTGATTCATATGTATGAATTGTCAAGATCATTGTACTGTCATGTGTAACTAATAAAAAAAAAGTTTAGATCAGCTTGAAAGTCAAAGGCTCTTGCCTCTGTCTACCACTCTGTAGCAAGAAAAATATAGTCACTTGTTGATACTTATTCATAGGACAGGTTTTAGAATACTTACCTAGCTCTGAGAATTGTCCTTAGCACTTAATTTGGTTTCCGAAACGTACTCTCCTATTATTGTATGTCTTGTCTCTTTCCATAGATGGAAAGAAAAATTGAAAGAGATGAGGACCAGAGAGAAAACATTGTATGTCCACAGTTATTATTTTTAAAAGGGAATTTTTTTTTTCTCTCTCTCAGTGAAAAGAAACACTTCTCTCAAAGAAAAATGTCTTTCTCCCAGCATTGGTACTTTTCTATTTGAAACCAGGCATTGTATTTTAGGACAGTGACTGCTAGACTAACATTTATAATTTGAGTATTATATGCAAACTTTCATTTACATTTATTAAATAAGTAGTGACAAGTCATATGGGGAAAATAAATTAGGGTACTAGGCAAGAGTATGATAGGGTCAGGAGACTATTTTAGATAGGACGAAAGGGATACCTCTTTGAAATAGTGATTAAGTTTTAGCCATAGAGGATGAGAAAGAAGTTAGCATAATGAAGATATAGCACAGAAGGAACAGCAAGTATTGTGTCCCCAAGACACAATTAAATCTGACCTGTTCTATGAACAAAAGGAAGCCAGGGTGGCTAAAACATATGATCAAGAGTTAAAACAATAGGAGATGAAGTCAGAGAAGTAGGCGGGGGCCACATACAAAGCATTTTAGGCCATGGTATGAAGTTTGGATTCATATTGAGGTTAATGGGAAGCCCTTGGAACTTTAAAAGCTGAGTGTGTCAGAACATGGCTTACATTTTTAGTTCTACCATAATTTTTTAAAAATTCTTTTTTGGTGGTACTGGAGATGGAACCTATGACCTTACATGTGTTAGGTAAGTGCTCTACTACTGAGCTACCTCTGAAGCCCATGGTTTACATTTTTAAAGATCACTCTGGATGTTGTGTGAAGATTTGTAAGGAGCCTAGAATGGAAGCAGGATTCATGTACTGCAGTAGTCCAAGTGACATGATAGTGTTGTTGATCAGGATGATAGGTGGCTATAAAGAAAGCTATAAATAGGGTTGTGGCTCAGTGGTAGAGCGCTTGCCTAGCACATGTGAGGCACTAGGCTCAATCCTTAGCACCACATAAAAATAAATAAATCAAAGGCATTCYTCCATCTGTAACTACAAAAAAAATTACAAGAAAGCTATAAATAGATTAACCAAGATGTATTTTGAACACCCCTGCCCCCGGCATTAAAAAAAAAAAAAAGCTAGATTAAATATTGCAGGTAAGGAACAGGGACATTGGTAAAGGAAAGATGGGAACCAAAGTTGAGTCTTCAGTTTTTATTTTGAATAACTGTTAGAATAAGGGGGAAGCAGTCAAGGACCAGGATTAGAACCGAAAAGAGAGTCCTATTTTGTACACATCAAGTTTTAGATGCCTTTTATTTTATAAATTTAGATTATAAAATATCTCAGATCTATCAGAAAGATGATACTTAAAATGGTTAAAGCAAAAATAAAGTTGTTTAATTTTAAAAACCAAGAGATGCTTTCAAGATGTAAAATTGGAACAGGGAAAGTTTTCCTAAATATGGCACAACCAAGAAGACTACAAAAGAGTAAATTCAGTGAACTTAAACAAAAAATGTAAGGCAAAGATCATCATAAACAAAGTTAAAAGAAAACTGGGAAAGATATTTGAAACTCAGTCACAAAGACCAATTACCATAAAATATAAAAAGCTCTKAGAAATTAAAAAGAAATGGTAAGTAGAAAACTGGACAAAGGATATAAATAATATGTAAAAAATAAAATGCAAATGCTTCCTTTTTTGATGATAGCATTGTAATTATAAATAGTATTTTTTTGACAAACTTATACATATAAGGAATTTTATTTCAATATCTATTTCTCCCACCCCTTTCCCCCCCATCTCTTGCCTCCTTTTCTCCCTCATCTACTGATCTTCCTTTTATTTACTTTTTATTTCTACTTTCTGCATATACACAAAAGTGAAATTCCTTTTAGTACATTTATATATGTATATAGATTCATCCCATATTTCTTTCCCTTTCTCTTCCTCCCTCCCTCCCTCCCTCTCATTCTCCTATGTTTTCTCCACTGATCTTTCCTATGTCTTTATGATATCTAATCCCCTCCCCCACCACCTTCTTTCCCTTATTTTGCTGTTGCTTTCACATATGAGAGAGCTGGCTCTCTTGATTTTCTGAGTCAGACATATTTCACTTAGCCTAATGTTCTCCATTTCCATCCATTTATTGGAAAATGCCATTATTTCATTCTTTTTTATAGCTGAGGAAAAGTTTGACCTCTTCTACGAACAAAAGGAAGCCCATCATCTATTGATGGGCACCTGGGTTGATTTCATAATTTGGCTAAACATTATAATGAATGTATCATTATAGTAGGCTGATTTTAGTTCTTTTGGATAAATGCCATGGAGTGGGATAGCTAATATCCTACTGCTGCCCTATGAGTTCCCAAGCCCAGAGGTGCATAATTTGGGAACTATGGAAATAGCCTTCATGTCACTGGCAGGAATGTCAAATGCATATAGTGTTTATGGAGAAGGTGGGAGGTTTGCCAGTGTCAATGGAAATTATAAATATGCATATGCTTTGACCCAGCAGTTCCAGTTACAGAAATTAGATCCTGTATTCTTCTATAATATCTACAATGAAAAATTAGCTTAGCCCTTTCTTGTACTGTTTTTAGGGTAGTAAGATGAGAAAGACAAGAAACAACCTACATTTCTGTCAGTAGAAACCCAGTTAAATAAATTATGGTACATCCATAAAATGAAATAATAAAGTTATTTAAAATAGTAGCTCTTTGAGAACCAGTATGAATGACTATATACTGTTAAATGACAAAAGCATTTTTCATGGTATACAGCTACATTCTGTGTAAAGAGAGGCAGAAATATGCATAGATATGTATAGACTTGTAATTGCATCATCATCTTTGGAAAGCCACATCAGAAGTTGATCATTTAAGCTTGATGAAATAGTGCACACTTGTTGTCCCAATTATTCTGGAGGCTGAGGCAGAAGGATCTCTTGAGCACAGGAATTCAAGCTACCCTAAGCAACATAATAAAATGCATTTTAAAAAGAGAGAGAAGTTGATAATATAGGTTACCTGTTGGGAGAGAAGGTGAGAGAAGACTTATTCATGAGTTTTTGTTTGTTCCTTTCAAATTTGAAACTATATCAAATGTATTATTTATTAAAAATAATGTTAAAAAAATTTTAAAGGTAAATTAGTAGAAACAATGTATGTTTCACTACTGACGTGATTGTTAATTTGTTTTGTCATCTATATAGTATTAATGCTGGTTTGTGTTTTTTGTTTTACATTTTTTCTTTTTTTTTTTTTCAGTACTGGGGATTGAACCCAGGGGCACACTACCACTGAGCTACATCCTCAGTCCACTTTTTAATTTTTAGAAATATTGATAGAATCTCATTAAGTTATCCAGGCTTTGAATTTGTGAACTTCCTGCCTTAGCCTCCTGAGAGGCTGAGATTACAGGCATGAAACTCAATACCTGAACCAATGCCAAATAACTTTTTAGGACATAAATTGTATTCCAGTATCTAATAAAGAATCAAGATGGATATTTAACGAGACATGGTATAATCCCAGCTACTCAGTAAACCAAGGCAGGAGGATCACAAGTTCAAGCCCAGCCTGGGTTACTTTGTGAGACCTTGTCTCAAAATAAAAAATAATAAGGGTCAAGGATGTAGTTTGGTGGTAGTGTCCTGGGTTTAGGTTCCAGTACCCTGCCCCCAACACACACACACACACACACACACACACACACACTTAAAAAAAAAGACATTTAACATTTTAAAATTTTATTTTATTTTGTTTTTAGGATTTAGAAAACTACATATTGGAACTTATCCCTACTTTGCCACAATTAGATGGCCTGGAAAAATCCTTTTACTCCTTTTATGTTTGTACAGCAGTTAGGAAATTTTTCTTCTTTCTGGACCCTCTAAGAACAGGTAAATCTTATGTAACTTGGATATGATGAGAATATTATTATATCTCAGTCTCAAGAATTAGAGAAGTCTTGAAAAATGTCATTTATTTATTTTCCTAACATGTCATTATCACTAATAATCTAGTGAATATCAAAGGAGTACGGGATTTTTTTAAAGCTTTTGTTTAGGTTTATATAAAGATCTTTTATGATTTATTTGCACTGGCTATAAAAATTTTGTGATAATGGGGATGTCACCTCTCAGTTTGTCCCTAAAATGAAAAAGTAATCAATTATTACACTTCTTTCCAATCCTAAGAAACCAATTACTCTGATATAATTTGCTGTTCCTGATATGTGATATACTAGAGAGCCAAGATGGTTTTTCCCAAGATAACTATCCTATATAGGAATCAGATTAGTAAGTTTGGCTTTGGTGACAGTATTGTTTTATTGACTATTTTAACCTGCCCAGACTTAAATACATGTAATTAAGGCAGAGGAAGGGTCAGAGAAGGCCCAAAGTCTTTTGATTCTCCTCCTTTTCTTGAAAACCCAGCAATAAGTCCATTGCAACACATAGTACCGGATTATCTTTTTAAACTCCTCCAGGTGTAGGTGCATACACACCTTTTCCTTTTGAAAGCTTATAAAATATAAACTATTTTGAATATTTATTATAAACAAGGCACTATGCTAAGCATTTTACCTGGATTCTTTCATTTCTTATAGAAGTAGTTATCTTCCCATCTGTCAGCTCTTTTTTTTTCACTTTTTCATATTTTTAGATGGACAGCATGCCTTTATTTTATTTATTTTTATGTGGTGCTAAGCATTGAACCCAGTGCTTCACATGTGCTAGGCRAGTGCTCTGCCACTTGAGTTTCAGACCCAGCCCCCATCTGTCAATGCTTAACCATACTTCTGTTTTGCTTCCTATTCCAGAATCTATCAAAGAAAAACAGAAACTGTCTCCTTTCCTTATTTTTTTTAATTTTTTTTTTTTTAGTTATAGGTGGACACAATATCCTTTATTTTATTTTTATGTGGTGCTGGGGATTGAACCCAGTGCCTCACACATGGTAGGCAAGCGCTGTACCTCTGAGCCACAACCCCAGCCCTTCTTTTCTTATTTTTTATAAACAGTATTATATCTTTGCCATAGAATTAATTAATTTATTTATTTATTTATTTATTTATTTATTTATTTATTTATTTATTTATTTTGGTACCAGAGATTGAACCCAGGGGTACTTAACTAAGTCACATTCCCAGCCCTTTTTATTTTTTTATTTTGAGACAGGGTCTTGCTCAGTAACCTCAGGCCTCACTAAGTTGCTGAAGCTGGCTTTGAACATACAATCCTCCTGCTTTAGCCTCCTAAGTCACTGGGATTTCAGGCAGGCACCACTATGCCCAACTTGTTCACAGAATTTTTGACATTACTTTTTTGTGACTCTGATAATTTTAGAATTTATAGCTTAGACATATATTTGGGAGTATAAAAGTAAATATATACATACAGCTTTTACTAAATGTTTCCCTTTTTGTAGTAATATGTAATAAGGACTTTGGAGCTAGAAGTTTTAAAATATCAATTGTGTAATAGCTCATGTAAAATAATAAACTTTAACAAATTAAGTTGCTCTTGTTCTTAAAATGAAATTAAGTATTTGTTTATGTTTTTAAAGGAAAAATTAAAATTCAAGATATTTTAGCATGCAGCTTCCTGGATGACTTATTGGAGGTAAATACTTTTTTTTAAACTACTTAATTATATCACTTGATAATTAACTATTTTCTTTTTTTTAATTTATTTTAATTAGGTATATGAGATAGCAGAATGCATTTTGATTCATTGTACACAGTTGCAGCATAACTTTTCATTTCTCTGATTGTAACACAATGTAGCAACATACCATATATGCAGTCACAAGTGTACCTAGGGTAACAGTGTCCATCCCATTCCACCATCTTTCCTGCCTCTATACCTCCACCCTCTTTTCCTCCCCTTTACCCAGACTTCCTCCATKTTACCTATGCTCCTTGCCATTATGGATCAGCATCCACTTATCAGAGAGAACATTCGACCTTTGGTTTTTTGGGATTGGCTTACTTCACTTAGCATGATATTTTCTAACTTCATCCATTTACTTGCAAATTCCATAATTTTATTCTCTTAATGCTGAGTAGTATTCCATCGTGTGTATATACCACAATTTCTTTATCCATTCATCTATCGAAGCATCTAGGTTACTTTCACAGTTTAGCTATTATGAAGAGAGCTGCTATAAACATTGACTGTGGCTGTGTTACTATAGTATGCTGATTTTAAGTCCTTTGGATATATACCAAGGCGTGGAATAGCTGTGTCAAATGGTGGTTTCATTCCAAGTTTTCTAAGGAATCTCCATACTGCTTTCCAGAGTGGTTACACCAATTTGCAGTCACACCAGCAATGTATGAGTGTGCCGTTTCTCCCACATCCTCACCAACACTTATTGTTTGTATTTTTGATAACTGCCATTCTATAACTATTTTCTATTAATGTCTCTTTTTCCCTTTAGTTAAGGGATGAAGAACTATCCAAAGAGAGTCAAGAAACAAATTGGTTTTCTGCTCCTTCTGCCCTAAGGGTTTATGGTATGTTCTCCATCATATTGCTAAAATTTGAGTTATCCATTTTTCCATTGGTGCTCAGAAGACAGTTTTATACATAGACTATTTTGCCTTTAAAGCAAAGTATTTTTTTGGAGGGTGGGGGTACTGGGTATTGAACCCAGGGGAGCTTAATCACTGAGCCACATCTACAGCTCTTTTTATATTTTTATTGAGACAGGGTCTCCTTAAGTTACTTAGGGCCTCCCTAAGTTTCTGAGGCTGGCCTTGAACTTTCCTGCCTGCCTAACCTTGATCCTCCTGGCTCAGTCTACTGAGTCACTGAGATTATAGGTATACACCATCTTGTCTGTCTTAAAGCATTCTGGGGCTAGGAATGTAGCTCAGTGGTAAAGCATCTGCCTAGTATGTGCAATGGCCCTGGATCTGATCTCCAGAACTTCTAAATAACAGTATTGTAGATTACTAAAGATTTACTTGTTTAAATACTAGCATTTTAATTTAGGAATCCTTTTTTAATTACTACACTTTTCAATAGAACAGATGTAATTTGATTCTTATTGACTAAGGAACATTGTTTATGAATATCAACTGTTGTCTTACTTTGTGATAAAATGCTGTTCTCAGAATCCACAGAGGGAGGTGTTCTAGAGATTGGTTTGCTCTTTTATCAAATTTCATGTTACCCACATTTAACCTGTTAAGTCGTCTTCTGACACATTTTCGGATCCATGATCTGTTCTTCCAAGTTGATAGCATTTTAGTGTTTTTTCTCGACCCCTCCCTCCATCTAATTTAGACCCTAGAAATATTTTAAATGTTGCAAACTGAAGACAAAGATGTAATTAAAATAGCCAAAGGCCCTGGCCTTCATGATTTTTTTTTGACCAGTTTTAACTTAATGGTTGTTCTAATAAAAATTTTTAAAATAGCTGATATTATTACACTTAAGCCATTACCCTACCTGTAACATAGTTTGAAAATCAAAATATTAACCAATAATAAGAACTTTTTATTAATGTCTATTCTATTATCTTTAATTAAAAATTTTTGGTCATAGGCATCTTTTTGTTTTTCTTCCCAAGGCCAGTATTTGAATCTTGATAAGGATCACAATGGTATGCTCAGTAAAGAAGAACTGTCTCGCTATGGAACAGCAACCATGACCAATGTCTTCTTAGATCGTGTTTTCCAGGAATGTCTCACTTATGATGGAGAAATGGTAATTGTTCAGATCTGATGATGAGCTTTAAAATTTTAGGCTCCTGCAATTTCCATAAGCCCTTTTGTTGATGTAATTCAAATTAATATCATAGTTTAATACAAGTTAAAAGTATAARCCAATCAAATTACTTGATATTCAGAACCTTTGGTTGTAAGGTAAATTCACTTAAAAACATATTTMCCTAATGGGCTCAGTACAGATAATAAATTTTAATATTTTGTTTGTTTCATTGTTATGCTCCTATTGTGGAGAAGTATGAACAAGTATAGCGTACTCGCCTAGCATGCATGAGGCACTGGGTTCAATTCTCAACACCACTTAAAAATAAAATAAAAGTATTGTGTTCACCTAAAAATAAAAAATAAAAGAAATCTGAGAGTTTAATCCTATTAACTATTTTCATGTAGATAGTCTGGTCATTAAATTATCAGATCTAACAGTACCACAATTTAAGTCTGCTATTAACCTATTTATATTAGTATAAAATGTAATTGCCATTTTCTTTCTCAAAATACTTGGGAATCTGAGAGTATAATTTTAGAAAGAATTTACTGCTTATGTAGTTGGGGGTATGCAATTATATTTTTCTTTGTGGTCTTTAAATACTTGAAAAGGAAAATTCTAAATAAACCTTTAACATCAAAATTGTTATTATGAAAAATAATGTGGTGTGGGGTCATGGGGGTGCACATCAGTAATTCCAGCTACCTGGGAGTCCGAGGAAGGATGAACTCAAGTTCAAAGCAAGCATAGGCAACTTGGTGAGACCCTGTTTCAAAATAAAATTGTTAAAAAGGCTGAGAAAATAGCATTTGTCTGACACTTGCTATTGCAATGCCCTGCGTGATCCCTAATATGGGGTTGAGAGTGATGGTAAGGATATGTATGATGAGTTTTCCAAACCCGTGGTGCTTAAGAAATAATCAGACAGATGAGAATGGGGTTTTTGTATTATATCATTTAGCTTTAATAGGAATTTGCCAAGGGGTTGGGGTTGTGGCTCAGAGGAAAAGTACACTTAGTTCGATCTCCAGCACCACATAAAAATTAAATAAAGGTATTATGTCCACTTACAACTAAAGAGTAAATGTTTAAAAAAAATAGGAATTTACCAAGTAATACCATTGTTAGCCAACAACAGAAAAAATGGAGAAAAGGCTCCAAAACTCTGACTCCCACAGCTGTTGACATTAGACAGTGAGGGGATTGTAGTACACTAGTAATTTCTGGTGAAAAATGATGAAGTTACATTTCTTTAATTCTTTACAGTATAATTTATCAATAATTCTTAGCCTACAAAATCATTTCTAATGTTAATTTTTTTCTAATTTGAGAATCTCCCAAAATCATACAAAACAAGTAATCTGAATGTTCTTTTTCCAAGACAAAGCTTTCTGTTCGTGTTTTTCTAGCTTTCGTTTGTATTCTTTTTTTTTTTTWAAATGAGAACAGAATTTTCTTACTGGAAATCATCTGATGTAAAAATTTTAAACAGCCGGGCACAGTGGCACACACCTGTAATTCCAGTGGCTCAGGAGGCTAAGACAGGAGGATCTAGAGAGTTCAAAGCCAGTCTTAGCAATGGCAAGGTGCTAAGCAACTCAGTGAGACCCTGTCTCTCAATAAAATACAAAATAGGGCTGGGGATGTGGCTCAGTGGTTGAGTGCCCCTGAGTTCACTCCAGGGTACAAAAAAAAAAATTTTTTTTAAACACTATAGTCATCCCTCAGTATCTGCCTGCATATCAGTTTCAGGACCCCCCGTAGATACCAAAATCTGCAAATGCTCTCAAGTTCCTTCTGTAATAATGTTGTATTTGCATATAACTTACATACTTATTTCCACTGTACTTAAAATCATGTCTTGATTACTTATAWATAATACAATGTAAATGCTACTGTAAAACTTTTACTGTGTTATTTAAGAAATAATAAGGGGAAAAAAACCTATCAATGTTCAATGCAAATGTGATTTTTTTTAAATTACCCCATGTTTTTAGTCTGCAGTTGGTTGAATCTACAGATGTGGAATCCAGAAATACAGACAACTGTATTTCAAAACAGCAATATAAGTTTACTGTTCTATTCATTCCAGATAAAATTTTTTTTCAAAATAATCACATTGAAATGAAGATGTAAATTTAATGGTGATGCATAATAACTTAGTCACTATTTCAAAAGTATAATGAATATTGTACACAGCTAATCTCATGAGAAAATATTCCCAAAACTATCATGTGCAGATATTATTTAGAGTTTCTAGAAACTAATATTAAATGTGCCAATTGGTTTATCATTTCATATTAACTTAAAAAATTTAAATTTGCCTCCCTGGATTGCAAAATAACTTTTATCATTTACTTGAAAAGGTAATTTCAAGTAAGCCCTTTACTGACCATCTTTTTTTTTCTATAGGACTATAAGACCTACTTGGATTTTGTTCTTGCATTAGAAAACAGGAAGGAACCTGCAGCTTTGCARTATATTTTCAAACTGCTTGATATTGAGAATAAGGGATATCTCAATGTCTTTTCCCTTAATTATTTCTTTAGGGTAAGTCGCAATTGGGTAAAGAAACATTATTCCTTAAGATATTATACCATATGACTTAACTACTTAGTGACAATTTTACCTAACTTGTGGTTTTTAAATCCAACAAACGATTTACAAACAAATTTTTATGTTTTTGTTTTGCAGAAGGAAATCAAATCTGGTGTTAGGATTTTTTTCCTTCCATTAAAAAAATGTTAATAGTAAAAGCCAATTTGATTATATGTAAATACTAAAAAAGTATGGAAATAGTAAATATTATGGGCTGTACTAGCCTTTAGAGATGAGAAATTGAATTCTTTGGTTAATCAAAAACTACTGTGTAAAAGCCTAAGCTTTGATTAGACATTCAGAAAAGGTAACTCCTTTCCAGGGAAGCTTTACAGACCTTAGTTGTAGATTCTTTTGTGCTATGTTATAAAAATAATTTCAAACTGTCCAGAATTGTGTGCTGCACTTCTATGCAAAAGGGATTTGCTGAAGCATTTATTTTGTGCCTTAGTTGGTCTCAGATCATAGAGTAACAGTGAGCTCTGAAATGGAATTGGATTGTACCTGATAGCATTCAGTTCCAACACATGTAAAAGTAGAAATGCTCTGCCCTTAAGACACATAATTCCTTAATATGAATGGTAATTTTTCCACTTGATGGAATAGTTTTGTACATTAGTGTTCTGCATAATCACCATATTTTCACAGGCCACATGATTTTTTTTTACCTTTATTTTATTCATTTATGTGATGCTGAGGATCAAATTCAGTTACTCACATGTGCTAGGTAAGCGCTTTGCCTATCACTGAACTACAACCCCAGCCCAACCATGTGATTTTTATACAGTCAAGACCAACAGTAGGAAGAAAATTTTTTTAAAAAACAATGACATTCTCAAATCTTTGTCATAAATCATTGCCCCCAGGGATTTTTTTTTTCCATTTAAAAAAGTTTTGGTACTGATTTATATCTTTATCTGGTTTCTGAATCCATCCTTAGGGTTTCATAATATATATTTCATAAATTCCATGTTATATTCCATAGAAAGCTTTCCATTATAATTTCAGGCAGTATTGACTGCAAATATTAGGATAAATTATAATCTCATTATTAGAAAACATTTTTTAAAAATTTAAGGCAAAGCTGAAGTTGCAGCTCAGTGGTAGTTGTTGCCCAGCATTTGTAAGGCTTAATTCTATCCCCAGCACAGTAAATTTTTAAACAATTCTAATTGAATGTGATATGGGCTTAAATTAATCGCTAATCTGAAAAAATACTATCATATCAAAGGATGCCTCCCATTTCAGACAAATCTAATAAGTGAAAATTCAGTCTTAGAAAAATAGGGATAGGCCTGGGATTGTGGCTCAGCAGTAGAGCGCTCGCTTAGCACATGCAAGGCCCTGGGTTCAATCCTCAGCACCACCAACTACAACTAAAAAATAAATATTAAAAAAAAAAGAAAAATAGGGATAGGGAGGTAATTTAGTAATAGAGGACTTGCTTAGCATGTATTAGGCCCTGGGTTTGAGCTTCGGCAGACAAAAAAAATGTCTTTTAGGAATTAAACATTCAACCCCTTTTCATAAAGATCTTTTTCTTTTCCTCTTTTAATTTTGCTTTAAAAATATTTCATGCATGAATCTATTTTATCAAAGTTTATTTAAGCTTGTTTCTTTGGGTTAAAGTTAAAAAGTTTCTCCGGCCTAACACTGTATGTAGAGCCAGTGATAAAGCTGGACTTAGATGGTGACCATGCTGTGCAAGTCTACTATTAATATTAACTGAGTGTGCTCATAAATTCTTACCTCCTTCAGATACACTGGGGATACTTGGCACCACATCCAGAGTAATTTGAAATACATGTATTGACTATTTTTTAAGCTTAACACTTCCAAATTAATGACTCTCACCTAAAGTATTTTTTAGTCCAACTGAATGACAACAGTCATTCTTGGTCTTGTCGTTTATAAAAAGGAAGATTCTGAAGGAGGCCTGCTTTCATTTTTTCTAAGTAGAAGGTAAACTGTAGGGTTGGGAGGAGGAGGTGGATAGGGGTTTTAAAGAATGGTTAATGTGGGCTGGGGTTGAGCTGAGTGGAGTGCTTGCCTAGCACGAGTGAGTCACGAGATCRATCCTCAGCACCACATAAAAATAAAATAAAGGTATTGTGTCTATCTACATCTAAAAATATTTTTTTAAATGGTGAATGTATGAACAGCATTCATAGAAAATAGGAAGAGCAGGCCGTAAAAGAATAATGACCATGTTGAGGGCTTATTTGAAGTGGGAGAACATTCAAGAATGTAGCAAGAATCCACAGTCCTAATGTTTGTTTTATCCTGAAGTTCTTAATAGTTAAGATATAGATGTAGAAAGGTAATTAGTTACACAGAACCAGCATGTTTATTATTTTACTGACTGGACGTGGAGCAAGATCAAGGAAATTAAGATAGGTAAGAGAGATTGAGATGATAAGGCTTCTGGTGTGATAGAAAAGAAAAAGGAATAGAAAGATATTTGGGACAAGAAGGGGGATATTGTGAATTTTATTTTTTATTTAGATTTATTTCCACTAAATACAGGCCATACAAGAACTAATGAAAATCCATGGACAAGATCCTGTTTCATTTCAAGACGTCAAGGTTAATTTTTCCTTTAATGTATATAACATTACCAGTAAACATTATTGTGTTAATATCAGATAATCATTTGTAGAACATGAAATTTTATATGAAAGCTATGTACTATGAAGTACTATACCCAAAGAAGCAAATACCCAAACGGGTATTAACTGTTACTTGTTCTGAACTGATATTTAGATAATTGGAAATTAAGACATGTGAATCATGATTAATTTGTAGAGTTCAAAATTTTAGTATTGTCAACCTTGTGTTTTCATTGGAAGCATGCATTCATTTTTCAGTTTAGCTTGCATCCTTTGGTAGTCTATTCCACTATAAATTCAAGTTCTAATTGGGAACTACTTAGATTCAAGCACTTTTTTAGTATAATCTCTCAAAGAGCCACTTGCTTTGATATATTTAAGGAGACATCAGTCCTACAATATGAAAACCACCACTATGTCAAACACTGTTGTTGCCTAGCATTTTAGTAATCATTTTTACCAGTTCCGAATAACTTTCAGTATCTAGTACCATTTGGTTCTTCATGTTTGGTAACGTGTAATAAAATACCCTGACCAGTTTCAACTGAGTAAAGAACTAAACAAAGCATATTTGAAACTCTGCAACAGGAAGTTTAAGATATAGAAATTTTAAACTGTAACCAATCTAGGAAAGACTAAAAGTTTATACAGTTTATGTACCTGAATTGTTAATCTTTTAAAAATGTAATTTGCCTCCTTAAATGCTACTAAATATTGAATGATTTTACTTCAAAAATATTAGAAAATGAGTATAATATAAATGTAGTATACAGTTCATTACTGTAAAAGTGGTTCTTCCATCAATTCTAGTCATTTTGGCACAATTTCCCATCATTTTGGATGACAAATTCTTTAATACTGAAATCTCCCCTCCTCTCATCCTTAGTCTAGAGTAAAAAGTTGACATTGGTATTGGAAATAAAGTTTTTGTCACTTATTCTTAAGTATTCAAGTTTTTAGTTTGAGCTAAGTTTTTTTTTTTTTTCTTTTAAAGTAAACTAAGGATTGGGGATATAGCTCAGTGGTATAGTGCTTGCCTGGGTTCAGTCCTGAGTCTCCCAAAATAAACAAACCAATATGTTTTTTCATCACCAATTAGAAGGTAATAGAAAAGTACTTGAAGTTAGTATGTATCACAGAACACTGCATTAGCTAGTTCTACCACTAATTAGCTATGTAGCTTGAATTAAACTCTGAACCTAAGTTTCTTCATCTATAAAATGAGAAATAGCAAATCACATAGCTCAGAAATCTCCCAGTAAGATTCTGTGATTTTAGATAAAGGAGATTGCCTGTCAAGTAGAGAAGTAAAGCAAAAACTTTTATGAGAGCTTAACTGTCAGCTGTGAATTTTAGATCACTGTGATAAATACCAAGTAAATCAGATTTTACTGTATTTTTTCTCTTGCAGGATGAAATCTTTGACATGGTAAAACCAAAGGATCCTTTGAAAATCTCTCTTCAGGATTTAATCAATAGTAATCAAGGAGATACAGTCACTACCATTCTAATTGATCTGAATGGCTTCTGGACTTATGAAAACAGAGAAGCCCTTGTTGCGAATGACAGTGAAAATTCTACAGACCTTGATGATACATGATCTCTAAAAAACTAGACTCTCTTAAGATGCTTGAATGCTGCATGTGAAACCTTTGAAGCAGAACTCCTTTAGAAATGGTTTAAATAAAATAATGTGTCTAAAAAACACAACAAGTGTTTCAGTTCCTGGAATTTTGTTATATAGTTTGGAAACAATAGGACCAAATACTGCTTATTTAGGAGGTAAGTTCTGGTTTCATTTAGCTCAAGCTCAAATATGGCAAGTGTGATTTGCAGTAGGTACAAGGATATTCAGTTAAATCTGCATAATCTTTAGAGATAATTTTCTTGGAATATTTCTGATCCTCATACAGAATTAGAATATTTGAGGAATGGTTTAAATTATTGGCCATTTAACCTTCATTCTTCATCTAAAACATTATATGGTATCAGGGATGTTAAATGACTTTCCATTAGAGTGGAGCCATTTATTTCTGGGTTATAAGTGTTTGGACATGATCTTTCTTTTAATAGGATGATGTGTCAATAAAAATTACTAAAACTAATCACTGATATAAAAAGAAATCTGTCTACATTATTTAGCCAGTATACCACAGTTATATTTATAAAACTTAATTCCATATTATTTAAGGATTTTTGTTAGAAAATGTATTTAATTAAGTAAAGACTAATTATACTAATTGTTGAGTTTAGTTTTTTTGAGATTAGAAGCAGAATATCATGAACTGTTAAAAAGTAGGAAAAAGTGAAAGACTTAAAATAAGACAAACCATTTAATGCATTTATGGGAAATTTTATAGTTTGCATAAACAAAAGTATAAAAATGTAAGGCACAGTGAATAACTATAAATATTACAAACTGGCTACTTTGGGCATGTAGTGAAAGTAAAATTCAAGAAACAAACCTTTCAAAGTCACTATCTTCCTTCTACTATAGTCACAAACGTTTCTAGGTAAACTAGATATTAGACATTAGAACCTGTAAGGAGAAGATTCAGAAGATCATGGTTAGAACACACCTGCCTTCACTTGATATTGGAAGGAAGAGTGACGTCGCCCTGGCATATTTAAGAGCTGTTAATAAACTAATTTATGGTGACATTATACACAATGATGAGAATCCTTTAAGCACTAAGTTATATAGTTTACAACCATGAATAAAATTATTACCATCACATAGTATGAAACACCATGCCTTGAACTCTACATAAYCGAAGATTCCTAAGAGTTTATCCTTCCTAAATTCAATTATCAGTTGAAGAATTTAAAGAACTTCAGCTTTCACTTGATGTTTCAACTTCCAGTTGAAATTTTTCAATTTTCAGTTGAACTGAATTCACACACACTGACAATACATAGATTTCTATGACATTTTGTTATGATTTCTGCACATTTTGAGTGTTTTTTTAAACTATATCTTAGATAAAATTTAAGATTGAAAGCTTAACGCTATTTAGATGGCTGTTAATATAACCGCTGAGTATTAAGTTTGTGAAAAGGCCCTTTTTTTTGGTACTGGGAGCTTTACCACTGAGCAACATCACCAGTCCTTTTTTATTTTTTTAACTCATCTTGCTAAATTGCTGAAGCTGGCTTCAAACTTCCTTCTGCCTTAGCCTATCATATCRCTGGGATTACCAACTCAGCTTAAAAAAGCTTTTAAGGTCAACATTTCCAAAACACTCCATTGCATTCATCTTCATCCACATTTAGTTGTAAATCAAGTCATGCACACATCTCAGGGGTTCTGCACATGTTCAGAAATATTTTCAAAATTAGCTTCATATCCTATAACTTTGTAAAGTTTGCAAATTAACTCAGGTTAATTAACCAGGTTGCTACTTCAAAATATGAATGAAATAAGGAACTAATTTCATTATTACTATGTACCTTGAACCACATTTAACAACTTCTGATAGCTTCAACCTATTCTGTACACCAATTCCCACCCAACTGCTCTGCCTGTCTGAGGCATTAAGGGCTGAATGAGTGATATAACGAGGATGCTATGTGGATAATCACTAGGTTTTACCATTTGAATACAAATATATTAATAAATTCATTCTTTAAATAATGTCAACATCATAAACAAAGCTGATTATTTAATTTGAATAACAATTTTCATTAAAAAAGGAAACTCAGGGCTAGGGATATTGCTCAGAGTACTTGCCTAGCATGCCCTGAATTCAATCCCTAGCACATATTTTAATATTTGGTGTAGTAAATTCAGATACTTTTCCATAAAAGTTATTCTTGATAAAAGGAAAATTCAGGGTGCTTCCATCTTGTTCCTTTTATTACACACTTAGTGAATCATGCTTTGTATGAAATTAATGGTTAAATAAATTAAATGCAAAGCATAAAATGCAAGGCATAACATGAGAAAATCTGGGAAAGATCAATACTCATTTTAATCTGAGACTGTAGGATTATCAGCTCCAGTTACCCTAAATCAATAACTTACCTTTTTTTTTAAACAAATAACAGAAAATTAACTCTTCTTAATTGATTAGGAATCTAGAATGTCCTTAACCTTTTTTAAAGATCATAAAACCAAAGCACTGTGCTGAGGGTGTAGTTCAGTGGTAGAGTGCTTGTCTAGAAGGTACAARGCCTTGGGTTCAATGCCCAGCACTGAAAAAGGAAAAAAACCAAAGCACTAATTTCAACATACAGCAAAAGCATAGTGCATATAAATTTCAGATCTGATTTTTGATAGTTAAAGCCTAATAATGGAGAAACATTTCTTCTTTCCAGATAACAATAATTTAAAATATAAATTAATTAAAGTTTCACTAAATAGAAAATATGAAAGTTCCTGGTATTAAAAAAAGAAAGCTTTAGGACTTGAAGTTTGATAGTCATTTCATTCTATTGTGGGACAGAGACTGAATTTTGTTTGCTTTCCATAATTACTTCACAGTCTTCCTCCATTTCAAAATTAAGATTCACAAATGAACTGGACACCACTGTTTCTGGTTGATCTGTCTGAACAATGGAATTATCCTGAAGCTTGCTCTGTTGGTATTGTCTTTCTGCTTCTTCAGACATCCTATTTTCTTCTTCTTCTTCTTCTTCCTAAAAATGGGAAATATCAGTACTTGAAATGTTAATGTCCAAAAGAACAGTAGTTCTTCTCTCACCACAGCTTTTCATACTTTTTTTTAAAACTAAAACAGTATCATGTCCAATTCAGTTTGGTCTAATTAAGACATACTCCCCCTTCCCTTTTTCCCCAAATAATTATTATAAAAGTTATTAGGGCTGGGGTTGTGGCTCAGTGGCAGAGTGCTTGCCTAGCATGTGTGAGGCACTTGGTTTGATTCTCAGCACCACATATCAATAAATAAAAAAAATAAAGGTCCCTTGACAACTTTAAAAAAAATTTTAAAAATAAAAGTTATTATATAAAATATAAATCAAGTCAAGTTATTTTTAAAACTTGGTCTAGAACTARCTTAGATGAGTCCTGAATTAACTTTGACAGGGGCTTTTTTTAAAATTTAGATTAAGCCTATCTAAATTTAAAAATTGGCAAATAAGGCAGTTCCTGCCCTGAAGAGGTTTATAATCTAGTAGGGAAGTTAAGACAGGTGAAAAGTATTAAAACAAATAAGTACTATAAAGATTTAGAAAAGAGGGGCTTGGGTTGTGGCTCAGCAGTGGAACACTCGCCTAGCATGTGGGGGGCCCTGGGTTCGATCCTCCGCACCACATAAAAATAGATAAATATATTGTGTCCAACTAAAAAATAAATACTAAAAAAATTTAAAAATAAAAGTAATTTCTAGTTCTTCAACTCTAAATTAATTGAGAAGGTGGCATCTGTTTTGTACCCTTTGATAGTGATAGTTAATACAGAGTAACCTTTCAGGGAAGATTAATTAGGGGTGTGAGAATTAAGATAGACCATTTAGGAAGCTATTATAATAGTCCAAATGAGGTAATGGGGCTCTAAACAGGGCTTGTACTGTAAATCTTCACAACTTCTACATACTAACTTCACTTGAATTGCTATTTTTAATTTGCTTGAAGGAGATACTAGTATCTATTTGTGTGCTGCTCAGTATACACTAGGTGCTAGTCTAAGCATTTGAGACATTAATTCATTAAACCTAGTATAGAGGTAGTGGTTCTCATTTATAAAGATAAGGAAATTGAAGTTAGAAGTACCAGAGCCAGATTTTGAGTTTAAAGCCTTTGGTTCTTAGGCGTTCTTAAAACACTAAATCTTTCTAATTCTTTAGGTCTAAACTCCTGTCATCCCCCACCCTAAGGCCTCACTACCTCCTGCAGAAATAATAGTCCTCACATCTTTGCACTTTCATAGTGGGCACATACTCATTTTTGATAACACTTCTATATCCAGTCTTACATGCCCAAGTACAGAGGCTGAGTCTTGTTTCTTCATCTTAAACTTAGAATGATTCAAAAAGTGGTATGTGAAGATTAATGTATATAAGGCAACTCACACAGGACTAGCACAATGAAACATAACTTAGTTTTTGCACATGGATCTTAAGGAARTTCCATTTTTAAAGAATCCTAAAATGTATATTGTTTTTATAAACTAAAGGAGCTATCTTTAGTGATAGARCACTTGCCTAGCATGTGCAAGGCCCTGCATTTGATCCCCAGCAGCAAACACAAAAAATAAAGGTGCTATCTTTTGGGCAGCTGCATAAGCTTATTATGCAACCCATCAAATCTATAGCAAACCAAACCAAATAAAWATATATATATATAAAGGAGACATACCTCTTTCTTCATCCGGTAATACTCATCAATGGCATATTGGTATTTTGGGGTGCTAATACCCAAAACAGATGCAATCTTCTCTCCAAGAAAGTCGCACACTAAAGACACAAAATTTAAAAGAAAATTCCATAAACATTTTTTGAGCACTTTCTGTATGTAAGACACTAGAATACAAAAGTTACTGTTCCTGTGCTCAAGGAGATTACTGAAACCCAATTTGTCTTTCCTCATTTCTCTAAGAAGCATTAGTAGCATTTTTTGGGCTCCCAGCAACAGTCTGTTCACATTTCTATTATAACATTTTTTTTAATTGGTTGTTCAAAACATTACAAAGCTCATGACATATCATCTTCCATACATTTGATTCAAGTGGGTTATGAACTCCCATTTTTTACCCCAAATACAAGTTGCAGAATCACATCGGTTACACATCCACATTTTTACATAATACCATATTAATGACTGTTGTATTCTGCTTCCTTTCCTATCCCCTACTATCCCCCCTCCCCTTCCCTAAGAGAGAGAATTTTTTTAATATTCATTTTTCAGTTTTCGGTGGACACAACATCTTTGTATGTGGTGCTGAGGATCAAACCCAGGCCGCACGCATGCCAGGCGAGCGCGCTACAGCTTGAGCCACATCCCCAGCCCTCTATWATAACATTTCTTGCAAGACATTATAATGATCTGTTACATGTCTATTTCTTTTAAGAAAAATGTATACCTTAGAAGGTTGGCTATCACTGAGCTGAAGAAGGGGGTTACTTTCTCATTTAGTGCCTATCATGTGGCAGCCATGGGGAAAGGTTAGGCTTAGATATATTAAAGGACTTGTCTAAGCTGAGCTGATAAAGCAGATCTAAAATTGAACTCTAGGTTTAAAACTCATGTTCTTTCCATTACACCAGACTGTCTTGCATATAGCGAGTACTTGAAAATGTTTGTTGAATCAATTACTATTCACAATATGCTCTAGT